AATTATAGAACATATTTATTATTTAGTTAGTAAAATTTTTATGTGTATATTAAGGGAGTAAAAATGCAAAATCAGCAGAAAATGAATTCCCGGAAGCAGTGGCATTTTCACATATTCAATAGGAAAAAGAAATTTTGTTGTTTTTTATATTAAATACTTTTTATTATATATTTTATTTACTTTCTTAAAAATCGAATGTGTATATTAGGGGAGTTAATTCATATTTATTCAGCCACTTAAAATCACAATTAAAATCCCTTTTAAAGCTTACCTTTTTTTTTATAATTTAAAATAAATTATTTTGGTAAATACTAACCTAATCCCAGTGTGCTTTGTTAGCATCAACTTTGAAAGAACCCCAGGAAGATGTTTAATTCGCAGCGTTTGCTGCGATCCCTTGCAGCCACAACTGCGCTTTGTTGCACGCGCTTCTCTTGATTCCGCTTCATGCACGAGCTGCTCACCTTTTTGCCCTTTTGATTCTATTTCTGGGGCCGGGAATAGCCTTGGTGTGCCTTGGTGCCAGTAGCCAGTTTCCAGTATCCAGTACTTAGCCACCTGCATGCTGGGTGCACGCCTTGGCCAACATTTTAATGAGGAGCCCCGCGCGTTGGTAATGCTTTCTAATTTCAAAACTAAAACAAAAGAACCCCAAACAATCCACTCACAAAGCTCTAAGGGAGGCTATAGTCTACCCAAAAGTTGATTTAAACTACAACTTAATTTAGTGTTTTTTTTTCTTTCTTTCTTTAACAAGCCTTGGCATCCTTTTTACTAGGCAACACTTTTTAATTGCCTGAAAAAATGGCGCTGGCTAAGCGGCTTACATAAAAGCAGACAGCACAAGGCAATAAAAAATGGTCAGAAAGGAGGCTTAATGCCGCCAAAGATAAATAAATAAATACCCCGCTTAAGCTAAAATTATAAATGTTAGCCAGACAGACGAAGCACTTTTTACAACTAACTTTTTTAGTAGCTTTTTTGAGGTTTTTTTGAGGCTGTTTTGAGGCTTTTTGTTTTATGTGTGGCACTGGCAACACATTTCGAAAATAGTTTGCTTTCTGTTTTTGTTTGTCCTTGTTGTTTTCATATATTTTTTTGGGATGTGGTAAAGCATAACGTATTTTATTTCACAGCTAAATTTGTATATATTTATATAAGGCATTCTTATTATTTTGTAAGAATTTTAAATGTGTTTAAAAATACCTTTTTAAGCTAATAAACATTGTTTTTTGTTCACCACATTTATTTTTGGTCAGTTATTGAATCCGTTTTACTTAGCGGACTTTCCATAAACCTATTAACCCATAGCCACTGAAAATTTCATAAATAGAACCAAAGTCTGTAAAGAATACAGCCAAGCTTTGCGCATAAATTAACCGTAAAGCGAAACATCAAAAATCACTCAACTAAGAATACGCAAAGTAAATGAAAAAAAAAATGGGAAAAACGGCGAAAAGAAAACCCTCTCCAGACGGAAAAAATCTCTGGCAATGCATGGCTGAATATTGAGGCAAAAAATAAAGAGAAGCTAGAACAAAAGTGAGACTCATAGCTGGCCATTCCCCATAAAAACGGTTAACTTAATTGACTTTTGCAAGTCAATTTCATAAATTGCATTCAAGTAAAAACTTAAATGCGATTATTGAATTTATTGACAAACAGCAAATGAATGTTGTGCCATATGGCAGCAGGAATATTAAAAATGCTAATAAAATAACTGATGATACGGAACTATGGCAGAGCTTCAATATTGACTTTTACAAGTAAATATTTTATTACCTTTTTTAACCGATTTCATTTGCATTAATGTACTTTAAAAAAGAGACTTCATTCTATTGTAACAAGTGAAAATATTTCCCTTGAACCGTTTACAATCTGTCAGTTTGTCCTGATCGATGTTGGAGCACATCCTTGCCAGAATGTTACTCATTTGCTCGTCTCGTTGGGGTACAAATTATCTGGCAGACATTTGGCTTTTGTGTCTTCATGATTCTTCTGCCCTGTTGCATTTTCCCCTTTGCCGTGCGTGTGTGTCTGTGTGTTTTGTCTGCGATTTTTCATCTCCTGGCAGAATTTTTCCTCGACGATGGCCACATTTGGCAAATGCTCTGAGGTTGTTGTCACTCCGGCTCCAGCTTCAGTCTTTGATTAATAAAGCCAGCGTAACATGACAGTCAAATCTTATCAGAAAAGAGAAAGAAAAAAAAAAGAAGCCGGGGATCCAGGATAAAATTGGTTTGGGGGCAAGCTTAAAGTATCTTTTCTTGTTCCGTCACAAAAAAATATTCACTGTGCTGGTCCCTTTTCTAGTCTGCTGGCCATGAAAGTATTCTCTAGCTCCTTTCCGCTGGGCGGTTAAATTCAATCAATAATCCTTTCGGCCGCTTGGCTCTTGAATGTGTGAAAATGATAAAGGACCCCGCAGGCAGGACCTCCGCCTCTGATAAAAGTTTTGAGAATGTATCGGTAACTGGGAAATCCGGTGCTTGTCAGCAACAAGTTCAAGGACATGTCAGGGCTAAAATTTGTATTACTCCTGAAGCTAAGCTAAGAGATGGCAAGGGGAAAAAGGTTGTTAAATAAAACAAAAATATTTACAACTTAAATTTTAAGCTCAACTTGAGTTAAGATATATTTTCAAGCTCTTACCTAAGAAATAGTCTTGGCAAACCTGATCCCCAGCGTGAGTGATGCTGTCATCTCTTATTCGACGGCTGCTTTTACGACTTCCTTGCGAGGAAACTTAAAATTAAAACATTCCTGGCAAGTTCTGAACATCTTTCGTCTGCCCCGTCTTCAGCTGGTTTTTATTGCCTCTTTTGTTTGTAGCCAGCAGTTGTGTAAGTTGTGTAATGTCTATCTGTCTGTCTGTTTGGCAGAGTTACTTACTGCTCCGTCGCCTCCTTCGGTGTCCCTCGGCTGGGGCCATGCTGTATTGCCTTCTGGAATTTATGCGACTTCTGTGGCACTTTAAGGGGCGAGCAGCCGTGACCTTTGGCGCTTCGATTCTGGGGCATAATTGGAAAAGTTCACAAGGACATAGTATTATTATCAGTGGTCCAAACTAGGGCTAAGCAACTCAATTAGAGTTCAATGCGAGTTGTTCTTGACCAATCCGGGTAAGTGCCACCCATGACAACCATAAATCTTTAACTTATTTCCACTCACCGAGCCCTGGCATCACCTCAAACTGGATTCCTATTAGCATTTTTCTTGCCTCTCCTTGCCCAGAGCTCTTCTTCCAGTTTCTTTCAATTTTTATGACCAGCCATGTGTAGGGTCCTAAAATTTTATGCGAATTTCTAATTCAATTTCACGTTAACGATATTTTCTGGATTTCCTTGCGTCCCTTGCCCTCTGCTGTCACATTTGCTCATCTCAAGTGGCTTACTTACACTTTATTCGATTTCAGCTTGTTGTTCTTTTTTTTCGTTTCTTTTGAGTTTGGAATTAATTTTGGTTGATTTGCAATTTGAAGCCACCGAGAAGCGTCTGTCAGTGTCCCCTAATTTATTTCATCAATTGAGTTTCGAGTTATTACTGGCAGATTTTAGTTCAGGCTTTCACGGGGCAACTGTCAAAGTGTTTTTCAAAAACATTTTGGGAGTCGTAATAATGAGGGAGAGAGTGGTGAAGGGGAATATTTAAGGTGCACTGGAAGAGAGTTTTGATGGAAAACTCACTTGAAAATTATAAGAATTTGTTGATGTAAAAATAGAACGATTTTTTTAAATAAATTATTTTAAAAAAATTATTTTTACTGATTACGAATTCCTTAATTCCAAAAGAACTTCTTGAAATAAAATATATAATAACATTCTTAAAAATCTTAAAGTGTCTGCTATATAGGATAAAGTCTCCGAGTCTCCTAGAGAGTTCAATTTTGCAGTTACCCGAGTGCCATCATCGCGTGAAACTCTGCAACATTAGCCGCTAATTGCGGGAGCAGCAGAAGTCAGCACTCAAGCGGGTCCACCCGCCTCCAGTCGCTCTTTTTACCCCCCTCCTGAAGCCACTGGATTCGCTGAATTCCAGCCCCCCTACACCACACACAATCTGGCACAGTGCTTGTCGTTGGACGCAGAGAGCTAGCTCCTCGTATCGTTTGCATTGCTCCAGTGCTTGTTGAAATTTTATGCTGGTTCGCCATGGTTCACTTGCTTCACTGAACTGCGAATGCGAATGCGACTGCTACTCCAACTGCTACTTGGACTCTGTTTCTAATTAATCGTGTGAAAGTCGAGCAATCATAGTTGCCCCTTATTCAGAAATTTTTTACATTTTAATTAAATGCTGCAAAGAACCAAGAAAAATATATTTACACAGTTACACAGTTTGGAGACTGTCAGGAATTGCATAACCGGATGTTGAGCCGGGCCCTCCCACCAACTTCCGCCTGCAAACGGCTCACAAAGCGGCACGCCTCGAATGAGACTCTGCTTGGGGGATCTCCACGTACCCAGGGATCAGGAAAGAGCACACGGCTTGGCTTTCAATCAAACGTCAGGGGCGGCGATTTCCCCGATGAACGCCCCATTTCGTTTTCATGGCCCATTGTCAGTGCCATGAACGCAGCGCAGCGATGCGAGGCTGCGACACAGCGAGCCCTTTATTAATTTCAATACATCACCCCATCCTCCGCATCGTCTGGAGAGCTGCTTCGGCTGAGGACACTTCTCCTCAATGTCTTCCCCTCCATTTGCATGGCTCAATGAGTGCTGGCTGCCAGCCTGAAAGTGGCTGCATTCATCAGGGAAATGCGTGCATTCAGAGGGGGGTTGTAAGGGGGAAGTACCTTCCTTCTATAGAGGTTTTTCTGGGAGAGAGCCCACATATTTACTTGGATACTAAGCATAAAATTAGGTGGCATTAGCAAAAGGTTTATGAGCTATTTCCTTTTTAATTTATTAAACTATTCTTGCTGCATTTCCTTCTGGTTTAGGTTTAGAAAAAGCGGCTTTAAAACTAACCCTCATTTTATCTTCTCTACTTTTCAGATGCTGAAGCACGTACAAATCTCGCCGCTGCGCAATCGCTCTGACTCGGTGTCCTTGCGCTCCTCCAGTCATGCCTCCTCCTGCGCCAGCTCCATGTGCGGCAGCCCAGAGCCACCCACAGATCTGCAAAGGACACCCTCGCGGGCCTCCAGCTACTCCAGTCTCAATGAGCAGTTGCCACAGGTGAGTTCCTCTTTAAGAAAACCAAAGAGAAGCTTCTTCTAAGACAATGATTCCCTCCACAGACCACAATCAAAGTGTACACCAACCGCCTAAAGATTGACATTGAGTACAAGACTTTGGGCATTCAGTGGGACACCACCAGCAAGGAGGTTATTAATATGCTACTAAGACGGTACGTTGAAAATATATATTCTTTAAATATATATATTCTAATCTTTATATCTCCTCTTACAGCCTCAAGATGCGCCATCGGGATCCGCGTCTTTTTTACCTCTCCATGGAGGTGGCCGTGCGCCGGGCTGGTGTCAAGACCATCCTCGTGCTGGACGACGACACTAGACCAGCCATTATGCAGGCCTGTCACCCCAAAGGCGAATCCCGCTTTTGTCTCCAGCTTAAACCCGGCGGCCTTATCCGCGTCCACACCTCCGCCCTGCAGGCCAGCTCCCAGTACAAGTCGCTGGTGATCAGCGAGGAGACCACCAGCGATGAGCTGCTCCAGCTGCTCCTGGGCTGCTATAGCTCTCCAGAGCCTGTCGAAAGCTTCTCGCTGTATGAAGTGTGTCCAGGACAGGAGTGCCAGCGCAAGCTGCATCCAGATGACCTACCACTGCGCACCCAGGCAGAGCGGATGAAGCGCGGCGAGGGCTGTCACTTTTTGGTAAGGCGGACGCCCAATTATGCCCGCCGGCGGCAGCTGTTGGCCAACCTGAACGAGGCCATTGGCCAGGCTGCAGCAGAGGCGGCGGCAGCAGCAGCAGCGGAGGATGCCACCAGTCTGCTGGAGCTCTCCCTCGAGTCGGATCTGTCGCTCTCCGAGGATCTGCATAGCTGCAGCAGTCGGAGCAGCGGAAGCGAAGATGCCGAGGATGAGGACGAATGCGCCAGCAGCTCTGGATCTTCGGATAACTCCACTGAGTGTGCCCTGCGACGCGACTTTTATCCAACTCCTTCTCCTCCTGCTCCTGTTCCTGCTCCAACAACGACGGTCACTGTGTCGCCGCCTGCCCGAGCCTACAGCCCCGTGTACAACATCCGCGAGATCCGCACAGCCTCGCACTCGTTCTCCTCGCTGGGCAAGGACAAAAAGCTGCTGGACATACACATGAATGCGCGGTACACCTCCGGGGGAGGTCTCTATGGCAGGCTGATGCCCGTGGCAGAGTCAGAGACCCTGGATCTTAATGGGAATCCCAGCGCCAAGCTCACAGCGGAGGCGGTCAACAACAATCCGGCCAAGGGTCTGGGACACTTTGTGTATCTGTAGCAGTTAGTCTAAGATAATAAGCCCCAAAAAGTAGTTTGGACCAAAGATGCATTTGTAGTTTAAGCCTAAACCTTGGAAGAATGTAAATAGAAAGTAGAACTAACCGAGGAGTAACCTAAGAGTAGGCTAAGACCTAACGAAACCCCTAGCTTAAGGCAAAGAAACCATCTGCTAACAATCCCAAATCAAAGGAGTCTATAGCTTAGTGCCCTAGTCCCTTGACTAGAGTTTCGATAAGAGTAAGAATCTGGACAGCTTGTGGCTAACATTCGTATAGAAACCAAAAGATATTGTAATAATAAGCAGCGAATATGTAAAACTAAAGACCAGTGCCATGTGTTTTTTATTTAAGGACGTGGGGGGTAGGGATTAAGTGCGCCTCCGCTTCGTTTTAATTGCATTAAAATCAGGTTAAACACGTGAGCGTGGGGCCGCAATTAATGCGGCCCGCCGCGCAATTTGTATTTCAACGGACGCCGGCCAGGTTCGGGTGCGGAATTAAGGCTCTCCATCTCAGCTCCGGGTGGCCAGTTGCCGGCTTATGGCGAATGATTTATGCGGCGTATGCGTAATTTCCAGAGCCATAAGCTTTTATTTTTTATTTTATTTATTTGATCGAAGGATTTAAACATGGAAAGGCTTTCACCAAACGCCCACTTATCGGGTCAGGGTCTCCTTCGTCCCTTTTTAACTAATTTAAGTTCGAAGATGGGGTTGCTTTCGGGTCAAATTAAAAATCAACAAATTTACCCAATCAAATCCAATTTGCTGCATCCTAAAATAATAACTCCAGCCAGGGGTCTCTGGAAATATCCGTTTAGGACTCGGGAAAAAGGTCTCACTTACCGGATTGGAGGACCGAGAGTTTGTTTTGTTTTTTGTCGGCTCATTTTACCAACTTTTAAAGCCAAAATTGCACCGAGCCCGAGACTCATGAAAAATGCAAACTGCCACTGAGTTTGGGGGAGGAGGAGGAGCCTTGTGCGGCAGCTGTGCAAACGGAAGCGGAAATGCTAAACAGCCTGCTCGCTCTGCTGGCCAGCATAATAACTTAAGCACTTTATAAGTCGAATTTAAAATTTTCCAAGCAAAAGGCAAAACTTGCCTGCTGTCTGTGTGAGTGTTGGCATTCAAATTTTGGGCAAAACTTCAGCGGCTGTTGCACTCGAGATAACTGTCTGTCATTGCCTGGATTCGAGTCTGGAAGTGAGTGTAAGGTGGGTGTGTACCATTTGAGTGGACATGCATATATGCAGGACCAAAAAGTGGCCTTGCTGCTCGCCTGAACTCCTGGTAGTTGCAGCTGGCCAAGCATCCTGTCTGGTCACTTGACCCCACCTCACTCAACCCCAGAAAGACTGTTCCCCACAAATTTAATAAAAATTGCAGAAAAATTGGCCAGGAAAAAATCAGAGAGCCAGGCAAACAGCAATTCACAGCAGGACGTTCCTACAGGTAAGGCAGATTTATCTTGTTTTCGGGCCAAGATGCAATCGCTCTTAGCCAGAGGGTTGGTAAGGGAAAATGGAAAGTTTTCAGCAAGTTTTATTTGTCTTTAGCATTACACTCAATATATTTCATTTAGATTAATTTCGAGAGCACACACACACACAAAAGGGAAGGGCCAACTTTCGTCCTGCTCAGCCTGTTGGCAGTTGTCGTCCTGTGAAATTGAAAGGAGGAGGCAAATTTTACAAAGTTTGTGTTTGCACAAGATTGAAGCCAGAACTAAGAGAGAGAGTGGTTAGTGTAAAAATAGAAATGCCTTGGCCCTGGTCACGGTCGCCATCCCGTCTAAACGCCACGCAACGTAACACCACGCGACGCGGACTCTCACAAAGCCGAATCAAAGTTGCATCCCGTGTAACCCGTTCGACTAATTGCCATAAGCCGTTAGGTAAATTTGTACACGCTCTCCAGCGCCGTGGCTCTAACTGTTATTTTTACACAACTAATCGGATTAGTGTGGTGGTGGTCACCAGCCCACGCCTTGTCCACGCCTTGCACATGTCCCTCATCTCTTGTCCCAACTCTGGTCCTTGTCGTCGTTGCTTTTGTTGCAATTGCCTTTGGTGAGTGTCGTAATTTTTCACTTGAGCAACTCGTAATCCCCTTTACTCGCTGCAGGCTCAAACGATGGAAATTAATTTCCATCGGTATCGGTCCTGGAATTATGAAGTGTGGCCTCTACCTCCCTATGCCTCCCACTAATGACATATTCAAATAGCAAGTTTAGTTTCAATGAGTTAAGCCGACTGGCATTTTAATTAAAAAGCTATTGCATAAATTGGCGCCGAGTTAATTATGTCCCCAGCTCACTAGGGAGTCCTTGATAGCTAATGGGGGTTAAAGAAGAGGCTTTAAACTAATGAAATAATATAATTCAATTGCTTTTAAAGGCTTTAAAAAATTGTTTTGTATTATATTATTACTTTTAAATAAAAAATAATTATTGTTTAATATTATAAGACCTTTCTTCTCTCACCTAAAATATCTCTAGACTTTTTTGAATATATACAAACGTTTTCAGTTTCCTCACTCTCTTTTTCCCTGATGTTTTGACCTTCTTTCTGCTAGTTTTCCTTTCCATAGTTCTCCTGCTGGTCACAAATGCATTGCCACTTTTCCCTACGTTCACTCCCCCTCAAATGTATACAAATATCAAACTCCCCTTTGAATGATGATGAAGAATTTTGGTCTACGATTTTCCATTTTATTTCTTTTCAGCCCATTCGACAGTTTGCATCTTCTATAAGCTGAAAGCCTGGTGCTTGTATTTTTATTTTGGGCAATTTCTCAATTTCCCCTTCAACATTTGAAAGAGTTTACATTTGTTCGAAGGGAATTTGATTTCATTGCAATGCGGCTTACTTGGCTGAGAGCTTGGTACAAGCAGTTTTTAATTTTGCACATTTTTTAAAGAATAACATACTTCCTCATTGAGGGGGATATTTGAGGAAAAGAAAAAATATATAAAAATAGAAATATAAAAAAATAAAATGATTGCAATCTGTCTATAGCCAACGCTTTACTTCAAAAGAGCATGTAGCAAATTTTTTACTGATATTTTTCTACAGGGTATCTGGTTATCTAGACACTCGTCTACATCATTCCTTATTGTTCATTTCCTACATTTCTGAGTTCCTGGCCAATGATTTCAAATAGAAAAATGCCAAATAAAAATCTTTGGTTTGAAGATGTGTTTGCCTTTGGAGTGCTGAACAGGAGCTCTGCAACCCCATAAACTGTTTTTCCAAAGGAGATTGTGGGTGAGTTGTGTGGGATGTTCTGTGATTCCTAGCAAAAGTACATATGTATAAGTTTGTGAAATTTGTGTGTGATTTTACAAGCATTTAACTGTTGGTAGAATGTGTGGACAGAATAGACAGACTCAAAGTATGCTGCAGAGATGGACCCACTCATCCCAAAAGTGTGCTTCACAGCAAACAAAATTGCAGCAAAATGGTTTGTTATAAAAAAACGCAACTTGAACACCTAAACTATATTTAGTAGATCTGCAAAAACTAGTTTTCTTCTCAATGTTATTTGTCCGAAAAATGTTTAAAAATGGTTTGCAAAAGCTGTTGTATTTTAATTACTAAGGAATTTTTGTTAAAATTGTCTATTAATTCAAATCATAGATACAGCAATTTTTCAAGCATTGTCTATGTTTGGTATTTAGTTAAATTACTTAAAGCATTTGTGGTGGCTAGAAAATTATCTTATAAAGTTTGTGTATAAATTTATTGTATATAAAATCTTATACATTTTAAACTATAATAATAATCAGATATATACACGCTTTTCTAAGGATTCAGTATTCTGATTTAAGTAGAAATAAACATATTAAATATAGAAATCATTTAAATAATACAAATAACTAAGAAAACCATACAGTTTAATAGATTTCCCCTTAATCCCTTAATTTTATTGCTTAGACAAAGCCACAAACACACAAGAAATCCATAAATCACGAGTCCTTATCTTAAGTTCCTGCTCTTCTTGATGGCTCGCTTTTCCGACTTTGCGTCTCTTTCCCGATGATTTATGTCAATCCTCCGCTCAGTCCCTCAAGTCGCCTTTAATTATGAAAAATCTCGCACATTGGAATGAGTCACTCAACTGGAAGACCCGTTTCGGGATTCCTCCTTTTTCCAGACGCCACTTGACACAGTTTATGGATCATTCTTTGCATAACAAAGACTTGGCCAAAAAGGGTCACGGGATGAACTGAAGAAAGACAGAAAAACAAATGGCCAAAACAAACAACGGGTTTTCAAGAGATTTTTACGTAGATTTTTGATTTTTAATTTGCGTTCGTCCTGGTAATTGAGTTTTCCACGGACCCTGGACTCTCGAGAATTTACTGCAGCGTTTTCCCGAGCCCCAGAGTGGCGATGCGAAACGCTGGCTTAGCACAAAACTCGGACCAACAATTGGAGCATTTTTAATGCAGTCCGCAGAGGACAGAGGACTTCTGTCCTCCTCGGTGTGTCATATTTTTTGTGCTTTATTTTTTTTGGCAGCCACAACGAAGCGTGTTCTCCGGCTGACCATAAAACGCTTGTCATCAGATATCGCCAGTCAGGACTATAGATAGAACAGGATATAAATTGCGAACGCAACTTGCAATTTGGACAACCGCGCGAAACTGAAGCCAAGGATTTGGGTGGCGGATATTTTCAGTTCAGTCCGATTGATTTTTGCTTTGTGGATGCTTACAGAGAGAGAAATTACTGATTCCTGGTTAAAAATTACCTCTTAAAAAAATATAAAAATAAAGTTTACACTTGTAATATATCAGAAATATAAATTACCTTTGAGCATTTCCTTAAATTTTTTTTTTTTAAATAACAATTTCCCATTTAAACTCGCTTTTTCTCCGCTTGTATTATGACTCTCGAGCTGCTGTAAAAGTTAATTGCAATGATGCAGCAGGGCTGGGTTGTGCCAAGTATATTTACACACAGTAATGATCTTTGCATTTCGTTTTATTTGTTCGTATTTAATCACACTTAAATGAGAAACTTAGACTAAGAACTTGACAGTTTGCAGAGCCATGCTCCCGGAAAAGCATGCAGTGGCTTCTCCAGTGCAAATCGATTTGCTTTTTGGTTTTTTTTCTTTACTTAAAATTTGGCCAACTCTAAACGCAGGCCAAGTGAGCGGGCAAGAGGCTCCTCCAAAATCACAATGAAATTATAGCTAGCCAGTTCGGGCATCCTCTTGGGGACGGGACAGCCTTTAGGAGCGCCGGCCCAAGCGCCTGAGGTGCCTCCTCCAGCCGCGCGGCCATCATAGCTGCTCGTTGCCAATGTGCGTGGTGTCCGTGGGCAGCGAATGGGTCTAAGGAAAGGAGACAGTGGTCTGGGTTAACTCATACATTAGGAGCATCGTTCCGGGTTTTACACACTCACCTGCAGCGCCTTGCGCTTGTGGTGCATCGAGGAGTTCGATGAGGACTTGCCCTTGCCCTTCTTCCAGGAGCACAGCAGCAGCTCCTTCATGCCCTTGCGAAAATTGCGACTGAGGAAGGCGTAGAGCAGGGGATTTACGCCCGAATTGAAGTACGTGACCAGAAAGGTGAGCGGCGTTAGCAGCGCATTAAAATTGGAATCACCGCGATACGAACGTGACCTGCAAAGGCATATAAAGGAACATATACAAGCACCATAATAACTATCTGGTAGTGTATATTCTGGCTATGCAAATGAGCATCTGTTGGCCAAACATCGGAATCGAGTTCCACATTCTGTGGTCTGTCCCCAAATAGATATTACAGTCCTGGTTCTAATGCGGCTGTAAAATAACTTTTCCTCTCCCTCGGTTTCCACTATGAAATTCATGAGCCATTCCCCTGGATTCCCCGGAGGAAATTACGCTAGTGAGCCCCCATTAATTATGCAAGAAATGTACTGTCACAAAGTGTCCTATATATTTAATTAGAAATCCACTTCAATTCAATTCCCTTCGCGGACTGCGCAACTCTTCCGTTACGGCTTTCGTTCAGCTGTTGCCAGTCTCAGTCTCCGCGGAGGTTCAGACTTTTTGTCCACCTGTCCAGGTGATTAAGCTGCCTGTTGGCAGTATTGTTTGCCTGGACAGGAGCAAAGGGCACTCGAAAAAGTTGCCTAATGGAGCGGGGAATTTGGCCAAGAGCAAAGTTTTTCGCCGCCTGCAAGTATGCAACATAAACTTTGACCGAAAACTTTGCCTTGTCGAGTAATATTTAAAGCAGCAGCAAAATAGATGTTGCTGGATTATTTTTCCACCTATTTTTTAGGTGCTCAGTAGTCAGAGAGTTCAAGGGTATTATTTAGGTGGGTTCTTATTGGGAGAAGTTAACAAATTTTGTCAGGTTTTAAGGTTCAAAGTGAAGGCAATCATTAAGTCTTTAAAATAAATTAATTTATAACGAAAGTATTGCTTTGGATAAATAAATAAATGAACTTCAGTTTAAAATTCCTTAAAATATAATTTCAAGAGAAAGTAATTCAATAAATTAATTATCAATATATTTTCTTATTTCAAAAACCTTCCTGACATAAAAACTACCGGATATCCCATAGTCGAGGCTCCAATCCTTCTTCTCCCTCCTTTTAGATAGATGCTAAAAACTTTGAGCCAACTGCCAAAATGTCCTGGAGTTGTTGCTCGTTGAGAATTCGGCTTGCACTTGCAAGTGGCAAAGTCCTGGGAGAAGAGTTGGCTAACTGATTGGGCCACTCGAGTGGCCTTCGCTTTGTTTTCGCCGATGCTTGAGTCCTGTAGTGGCCTTTTGCCAACAGTTCCGCTTCTCCTCCCCTCCCGACCCAGTTTTAGATGGCAAACCGAATCGGGGACATCACATTAAAGGCAACCCGGACTCCATGGGGTGGCCCTGGATCGTGACCGTCTTCCGGCCTCAGTCTAATGAGTCGCAGTTGGCGACTGCTGGCAGTTGTTATCGTTATCACCCCAAGCCGGCGACCCAGCCAGTAATGAACACGTGCCATGGTAGCCTCTCTGCGTACAAGTATTCAAGGGGAAAGTAATCCAATTGTCAGCGCGTGGCAATTACTCGGTCGTGTTCGCCTTGAGTAGCAATGACAGTTATCATTTGATGATTATGCCTCTGTGGGAGCTGCTATGTTTAGCATCTGGACTGAAGAGTGTCCCATAGAAAATTAAGCTTGGCCTGGTTAAGAGTTGCTCAATTTTTCAGCCAGCAGCAAGTTGATTAATTACTGGAGATGCCTATGCCTGCTGAACCAGCCATTTATCTTTGTTAGGAGGTGCTTTAATTAAACAGCTCTTCACAGATTTGCCACGTTGCACTTTGGGGAATTTGTTCTCAGTCTAGAGGGAAAAATAACTGCAATTCCTGGTTATTTTTGCACAAAAACGATAAATGTTTCAATTTGATTTCTGGCCAAAGTATTTTCCTGACAGTGCCATAATTGAGATTTATTTCCGACTTGTTGTTTACTTGACCAGCTCTCCGGCTCTCTTATTTTTATTTATTCATAGGAATCGACCATGCCCAAGCTGCGGGTGAAAAATTGTCCCTCTCCTCACCCACATGGCCATAATCTGCCACATAATGGCCACGTTAAGCCGGACTAGTCCCACTCAGCCGGAACACAAAGAAAACAAGCCAACAGATAAAAATAAGAGAAAAATGTAGGAGAAAAACTCTACGTTGTCGCATTGAATTAAAAGAATTTTTTAAAGCCTTGTGAATCTTTTATTAAGCCATTTGTCATATACTCCGAAAAAGACTGCCAATCTGTGAAGTGTCTATACGGTTGCGTTTGACCAATTTGATTCCGACTTTTTCCCTTTCGAACTGCCGTTTTATGTGTCGTAATTGTGGCTAATGGAATTTCTTGACATTTTGCTGCTGCATCAGAGATTCCCAGAAATAAAACCGTAATTAAGAAGAGTGTGTGTATGTCCATTGAATTCCTGTCCATAACGGTTGGTTGCTTTTTTATCCTTTGGGTTAATCTGGCACCCAACTTTTGATCTATTTTTGTCGCAACTCTTTATTCATAGAAAAGAATACAAAGGGATTATCTGGAAAATATCTTGAAAGAGTGTGGAGCCTTGTTAAAAAGCTGACCAGTTGATGGGACAGCCGATATGTATGTTTTATAATCATTTAGTTCAAGGAATTGATGTGAAATGGGACCCTTTTCCCTAATTGTTTTTATTTTTAGAGCCATAGAACCTTTTCCTATATTTTTAATATGATTTAGAAACACGTTTATCTCTTTTAAATAAAACCTAGGATCTTTAAAGAGCTAATATATATTTACAGTCTTTAATATTATCCCCTGCCCTTAAACTTCCTTAGAAATAGGTTCCTTTTACGCTGTGGCTGTAATCAGCTATTAAGCTTAACCAAGGAGCAATTATCTCCCTTTTGTTGGCAAACAGCTATGCCACCGCCCAGGCAATTCGAAAACACCGCCCACGTATTAAGCCAACAGAGGCTCCTCCTCCTTCCTATTTTGGAGAGAATTTCACCCACTTTTGAATGCCTCACCGGAAGCGGAACTGCTGGCCGAAAAGGGAAAGTCCAGCTGGATCTTTGTTGGCACACCTTTCAAAGGCCACGAAGAATGGGAATCTTACGCAATCGGATTTGGTTTGGGTTTGGAAAGGGGAATGGAGATGGGGTAGGTATGCACATAGCCCGAGTGCTTTAAAATCGATTTAGCCCAAGGAAATTGGCAAATGAGGGTAAAGCCGGCAGATTGCGAGGAATCCCAATTGATGACTTAATTGTTTACCAGCCTCGATTCCGGCAGGAAGCTATCTCGGCTTTATCAGCACACTCGCAGATGTTAATTTCCCCGACTATCGGCGGAATATGCAAATGCCTGCCGGGCTGACGGTATAAAATATTGTTTGTGCCGAGTCAGAGTGGAGTGATGAATGCAGCGATTGAGGTGACAGAGCACTTGGAAAAAAATCTTTAAAATTTATATATCATTTGAAAAGGGTTCTTAAACTATAAAAATCAATATTATTAAGTCAAAAATTGCATTTTTATGACTAGAAAATATAAAAGCAAAGCAGAGTCTTAAAAAGGTTAAAGTCAAGTTAAAAAATATTAAAAAAACCCAAAACAACCCATATCTCTAAAAAAAAATCCCTGTTAAGTCTCTCTCTTTCCACACTTCATACAAAACCGCTTTTTCTCTCAATGTCCTGTGGAATACTCACCAGTATTGCCACATTTTGCGGGCATGATACGGCAGATTGCAGAGGGCGAATGTCAGCACGAATATTATCAGCATGCGGACGACGCCGCGCCGGGCGCGTAGGACATTACTGGACGAGTGGGACATGTGGGTGGCTCCGGCCACACCCATCCCACTGCCACCACCCGCGACATTACCCGTTGTCCGCTGATGATGGGCATGGGAGTGGTGGTAAAAGCTCGTCTTGCGGCAGGCGCTCACAATGGGACGATCGGCCTCCAGGGACACCTGCACAGAGTTACATGGAAAATAGCATTAGTTTCGACGCGCAACGCAGATGGATGGAGCTATTGATTAGAGGTACTCGGTGATACCTACCTTGCAATTATCAAGCTAATTTGGTGTGGTGTTGTGTGTTGTGATGGTAATTGGTGGATTGGTTGGTAGAGAAGGGGGAACCAAATACGGTGTTTTATTATGGATCAAACGAAAGGCACAGAGAGAGAGAGAAAAGTTCAACAGAAAGATAGTTAAATAGTTATCGGGGGGAATAAGAGTAAATTAGTTTTCGTATAGAGGTTATCGAAAAGTGTTCACTGTGCTGTGCTTAAAGGTATTAAAGAGAACCTCAAATATATTAATAAGACTTAAGGGTACCTATAAATAATTTAAAATATTTATTTTAAGGCTAAACTCTAAATATTCAATATTCCATTAAAAAACTCCTGCCAAAGCACTGACAGCTCGACAGCTCGAATGTTTTTCAGAAATTTTCTCTCAAAAATATATCTGCATTTCCATCTAAAATATGTCTAAAACTAAGCGTGATCGATGCCCAATGTTCGATTGGGTAATCTTTTACTCTATTTTATGTTCCTGACAGAAAATGCAATCGAGCTTGCAGCTGCACGGCAAAGCTCCTGTCAGATGCTCAATAAAAGCGAAAAATAACGTATACGCCACGGTGTCCGGCCACCAATAATGGCAAAATATTTTTTGCGATAACTTTTGCCCTCTCACTTGCAGTTTTTTCTTTTATTTTTTCATTTACCAAGCAGCTGTCAGGCCACTAGCCACTCGCTTTTGTGGCCAGTTCAGCGTTGGCCTTAATGTGCATTGACACCTGCTCCGTAGAGCTGACCTGGCCACTTGGCCCGCAAAGTTGCCAGGACAAAGTTTTTACGACTAGCTGATTTCTCAAAACCTATTACCGCTACTGGAGCTACTTTTGTATCTAATAAATTATCGGCGGAATATGGCTGAATCGATGACAGCTTCCTGGAACATTACAGCCAGGCTTTTGGTGATTTAGAGCCTGGGCCACGACCCCACGAAAAACTGAGTTTAAACTGCTTCGGCCTTGTTTCAAGCAATTAGTGAACAAAGCTTTGGCTTCGCTTTCTGCATATTTACGAGGATATTAACGGGGTTACACGAACTGTTGTACACTGGGAACTTAAGTTCTTTATAAATTAAATTAAAATTATAGGTATACTTTCTTATTTTTCGATTCATCTCGTTAAAAGTCTACACTTGACTATACACTATACACTATACACTTATTAACTAAGATTTCAATATAAAACTATTACTTTTCCCAAGTGCATAGCCTTTAAATATTTTTCCAACCCGCTTGACTTTCGCTTTTATTTTATTTTTCCCCCGTTCAGGAGCATTGTTTTCACGGAAACTCACCTGACTCTCTGTGATGCTGACGCCACGCTTCTCATATTTACTGCTCTGTTTACGTGACAAGGACGTAGTGCTGCTGCCGGCGGAAGCGAGTGACGAGCCAGGACCAACTGCTCCACCTCCTCCTACGCCTGCTCCGGCTCCAGCCCCCGCTGTGGATGCCGCCGCCGCCGATGCTGTCGCCGCCGATGACAGCTGGTGGTGCTGGTGCGGGTTCATGTGGTGATGGTGATGGTGATGCTGATGATGGTACATGCTGTTGTGCAGACCCATACCATTGTCCTGCCCAGATTGTCCCGACTGCACCTGCTGATGCTGATTCTGATGCTGGTGGTGCTGATGCTGGGCCACATGCGGCGTGAGGCCGCGCGAGCTGCGCCACAAAGCGATGGCGATTTTGCTGTAAAGGACCTGCAATTCAAAAGCAATCGAGTTGATGTCATTAAAGCGAATTCAAGACAGAGTGGGGACACTTTTTGGACTGAAATGGAATATAAATAGCTCTTGAAAAAGGTTAAATTGTAGTGAAAAGTTCAGGTTTCTTTAAACATTAATTTAATTATTGAATTCTCTCACCGTCATCACCAGCAAGGGCATCACGTAGAGCAGCACAAAGTTTATCATGTCCAGCAGCTTGGAGTTGAACATCTCGCGGTCCAGCACACAAATTTCCTCCTCCTGCCCATCCTGGGTGTGAATATTCTTGATGGTCTTGCTGAAGACAAACTTGGGCGTGGAGTAAACCGCCGATGTGATCCACACAGTGACAATGACCATCTGCAAAAGACAAGCACTCTCGTCAAGTTTGTTTTGTCTTCAAGCCAAAAACACGCAAACAATTTGTTAAATGGCAAATGAACACACAAAATTTGCATGTTAATGGATGTCCGTCCCATTTCGTTGTCTTTTCTCTTGTCTCTTGTAGTTTAATTAGGAGCCATTGGCATTAACAAAACGCATTTTTAGTTTACCAAATTGTTTCATTTGTCTGGCTGAAAGGAGAGTGTGTCGGTTGGGTATTCTACCAAAAAGTTTTCGCAGCCACAAAGTCATGCCCACGGCTTATTAAGCCTTTCGGGCAACATTATTATATATATAATATTTTTTGTGGGTGCGTGCTTGGTTAAATAAGTTTCATTAACTTGCAAATTGTGGCTAAAATGAGTTATCAAAGTTGTGAAAATGGGCTCACCAATTTAATGGTAAAAGAAAAGAGAAAAGGCTCATTTTCGGGTACTAAAAATAGATACTCCTTAAGGTCTTCAGGCTAATTTAAATATATTTGTTATACATTTTCTTTAGCACTAATTAATACTCACCCTCAGACGAGCTGCTGTCAGGATCTGCTTGCAGGTAATGGGATGCACGATGGCAAAGTATCGCTCCATGCAGATGACGACCAGGATGAAAATCGAGGCCGTGTAGCTCAGGGAGTGCACAAACTGGTACATGCGGCACAGGAATTCGCCAAAGACCCAGCTGGAAAGGGGGACAACCCGAAGGTATTAATAATTATTTATGGGCAAAAGTTTCGCTCTTTAAAGAGTCACTGCTCCTCTCTAGTTGGCTCGAGGCGTCGGAGCAGAATTTAGGGCCAGACGCCACATAAAATTTTATGACACGCCCAGGAAACTAATGCGACATTAAGGTGTCGTTAGTATTTTATGTGGCGAAAAGCTTTCTCTCTTTTTTTTTATTATTTTCGGGCTAAAATTACATTGGAAAATGGTATTGGCGTCAAGGAGGCGGCAACGGCGGCGGATCATTGTATTTTGGGATTAGCACGTAATTCTATTTGTGCGCGGCTTCCTTTTGGGGACAAAGTATGAGGATAATACGAGGAAATCGTGATGGTTTTGCGGTTTGATTGCCGCTGCCATTTCAGCCAATTTACGGTCCTCAAAATTATTGCCAGGTGAGAGAGTCAGGTAAGGCTTTAGCAGCAGGAAATTGTAACTTTTAAGAAGGGTTTTCAAGACAAGTGGCTTTCGTGGGGGTCTTTAATCATTTTTCTTCAATATTTACTCTCTTTAAAGACTTAAGTTTATGTGCTTTAAGTCACATTATTATTTTAATTTTATATAAACCACTTGAAGAGCTCTCTTTATATATATGATTAGTCTAAATCTATGGTTTTGGTTATTCTAAAAAATAAATAACTTGCCAGGCCAGACAAAAATTCATTTGGGGCATAATTTGTGGAGATTTTCCCCAAATCTTTCTCACTTTGCATATGTTTTTGGGGGGCCGCCATGAACTTGTGCGCATAATTTTGATGAAATTATGCCAAGCACATATTGGCCAGTCCTATATTAGGCTTTTAATATGGTGATTCTCGACCATGATAGGCTTTCGTTTATAAGAATATTAAATTGGCAAATATGAACACAATTCAAGAAAAAAATTATAGGAATAAGATTGCGTTTTTAAATAAACAAATTGATTGCATTGCTTGAATGTTGATTGCTTAAATCTATTTTTAATTCCACAAACTTTTAGTAATAAATTCTTCATTTGCTCTAAATCTTGTATATGTGTACTTATATCTCAGCTTATTATGAAAATATTTCTAGATGAGTAATAAGTAATAAACTATTAAAGCATGAATATTTGCCAAAATACATTTAGTTTATGCTTGACTTCATTTTTGTGTGTGTAAACTTTATTTACTTGTAGGCAAACGACCGTGAAACATAAGGCATTTCTTCAAAAATAAATATAATTTTAGATATATGATGATCTAGAAATTATACAAAACACAATTTAAATATTTTTCTTCAGAAAATAATATTGTTTTAATTTGTAATTAAAATCAGAAGAATGAATATTTTACAAATTCACTATTCTTCTTTTTTAAAATGGACTTTAAAATTAATTTAAATTGTATACAATACGTATATATAATTTTATATATTTTTTGGCAAGCAAATGAGTGAGAATTTGCTACTTAATATTTTCTGTACAAGGAAGCTTATACTTTTCTTCATTATTTTACAGCAAATTCAGATCTTAATAGGGCATTCTCTTTCATAAAAAAACCCTCCTAACCCTTAATGTAAATTCCATTTTCTTTTAAATTCATAATGCACAAAAAAGTGGTATTTACGATAAGTATTTCTATCCCTAGAGCTTCTTCCTTGAGCCGATGAGGCTGCACATTTTCAGGATTACTTATCCGAGGTCTCGTCCTGTTTGGGGAAAACTTTTTACAGAACCCATGCACATATCATTGTCGGAATTTCCATGCTTTGCTCTTCAACTTTTTCCGCTGCTGTTTGCCTCAGGTTCATTCATTGCGCTTTTTATTTGTGCACGTCGCACAACGTGTTTCTAGGGAAGGTAGAAAAGGCAATGCAAATAAACACGGCGGCCAGGTGTGAACTGGGGGAGAAGGTAAGGACGGGGCGAGCGGAAAAGCGGAAAATGCACACGTGAAAGTGTCGCCTGTGGGGCAGAGAGCATATTCCCCTCCTTTCTGCGGCTGTCCTACCGTTAATGTTGCCGAGTTGAAAGTTGAAACTTTTGTGCTGCATTCTTTTGGTTGCACCCTGAGAGCCTGACACGAGAATGTCAGCTTTTGAATAATAAATGACAGCCGAAAAATTAATCTTCTTTGGGTCGGACAAGATAATACCCTATGTGAAGGGGTGATAATAACTAAGAATACAAGATTTTGAATTTAAGAAAAAGAATAGAAAAGTTGTGTGACCGCCCTTTAATATTTAATTTATTTTTAAATAATTTGTCTTATCTATATTTGATTTCTTAAGGGTCAATTATGGATTTTAATTCATTAAAAAAAACACTTTCAAAAGCTTACACATTAGCAGTTAATTTTAAGATATTTTTAACTGTTAAAGATTATATTGAAACTTAACAAAAAACTCAAAAGACTCTTTACCATTTACTTTTTATCTTATTGTTCACCTCCACTCGTGCATAATGTACCATTAATTAAGCAAAACAACAACTAGGTCTCCATCTTCCTCAACTCACCTATCTATGAGATAGATGGACAGGTTCTGCATCACACAGAAGAGTCCAACGCAAAAGTCCGCGAAGGCTAGATTGGCCAGGAAAAAGTTGGTGATGGAGCGCAGTCGTCGGGACAAGGTGACCACCAAAATGACAAGTAGGTTGCCTGTAAATAAAAACAGAGCGGAGAGAGTTACAAAAGATGACAGATGCTGGAAGAGATGTAGCCCAAATTATGGGCATTTTATTTTGGGAAATATTAAAAATGTTAACAAAATATTCGGACCACTGACTTGGCAGTTGGCAAACATTCTGAGGGAAAGGGAAGGCTCTCCATGCTTGTACTTGTGCGGCCTAAACTTTTCACAGACTTTACTAACTTTTGTGGCATTCTGTCGACCATTTATTGTATTCATTTGTCTTGTAACTGAACACTGAGGTAGAGTTTATAGCTTTCAATAAAATATTTAAAATTTTAAAAATATTTGGCTTTTAAAGAATTATATATTTAAGGAGTTAAAAATGTATGTATTTATGGATTGGAATAGCAGATGATTAACCTTTATTTAAATAACAAAGTTACTTAGGTTTGATATGATTTATTTATAATATTTTTTATTATTCTATAAGAAGAACCTCTGGATTCTTAATTAATTCCTAATCTAATATGTCAATGATATACTTTAAGACTTTACCGATTGCTATACTAATTCAGCTTCAAATTAAATTTCACAGCAACTAGAAGCTCAGAGCAAACCTCGATTACCCCGAACTTAGAAACCACAATGAATTGCAATCGGTAGCAAATACATGTATTACATTTGCCAACGCGCTTGACCAAAGGTTGTGGCCTGATTGGAAGCCTCCTTTGGTGGGCTAAAGCCATAAATGGCCTTTGCGGCCAAAGATGCACTTTAAAGCTCAAATAGCTGGGCTTCAGAGCTCTAATATAATTTGCATGCATAAAAGGAAAGTGCATGGCTTGACAATTTTGGGATTTAACAAAGTTAAGCCAAATTAATTAAATAATTTGAAAATTTAAGCACAACAAATGGAATAATTTCACATAATGTACAACTTTACAAAAAGGGAATTACATTAAATGGATTTTACATTTTAAAGGCTTTAACTAAATTTCACAAGTGATAACTTATTTCTCACCATGAATAATATTATTAAATGTAATAACATTTATTTTGTAATTTATTTAAATAGCTTTTGTTATTATCCTGCATATATATTAACAACTTATGCAGTTTTTTATAATATAAATCAGCTATGCTGTGAATTTAAATAAATAACAGTACCAGAATTTGTAATTTAAATGTAAAAAAAAAACAAATTTTACATATTGAATTGTAAATCGTTGTCATTGGTAAATTGCCCAGCAAATAATAAAATCCAATTTCCAATATGCACCACCATAATTTTGCAGGCAGCGAGTGTCCTGTAATTTGTATTGCAATTCAAGTTTTTAACAATGCAATGCATATACATTCTCTCTCACATGGCAAGCAAATGTCGGGAAAAACTTTTTTAATTACACCCGATAGGCAGAGTAACGGGGGGAAAATGGTAAGAAAAAACAGCGAAAGGGAAACAAAAGCCGAGCCGAGAGCTGCCAAAAACTACCCAGAACATGCGAAACTTCAAGGCGTGCTCTGAAATCGGATATTAAGGAGGGAGAGAGCACTGCAGCAGGATTTCAAAATACAAAAGTATAGAGAGCGGAAGGCCAAAAGTCCGCTTGTTTTAAAAAAATACACACAAAAAGAAATATATTTATATATATATATATTGAGAGAGTATACGGATGTACATGTGTTGGTATAAAGTTTTATATTTCAGTTTATATTATAAGTAACCTAATTTTCAAATAAAAAATACATTTTCCTAGACTTTCCCCCCTTTAAAAATAACTTTAAAGCAAGAAACAGCAGATTTATCTCGCAATTATCGCAAAAGGACCCTAGGTACAAGCGCTAATGCCAATGTTAATGCCAGTCTACAAAAAGGACAACAATACAGTCTGTTGTTCCCTAATGGCAAACAGAAGTTCTGGACGTGACTGCAACATGCAAATTTTATTGGCGAATGTGGACAAATCTACCATTCCGCCCACAGTTTCCTAACTGTCCTGGCAAATAACTTGCTTACATTTTGCAATTGTCTGCGCAAAACGCCCTGCGACCACGCCCCCCTCTCTGTGTCTGTGTCTAATGGGCGCCCATTTGTCGCCATTTGGTATGGCGAATACACATGTTCCTCTGTCCTCTGTAGAGTGCGGCTAATAAAGCCTACAACTGACGACTACCAAACAAAAGGCATTCCCTTTCCAGCAACATCCAAGTGTTCGATCGAAGGACATAATTGATTCTGACAAGATGAGGGGACATTCCATATTTATGTGTCTGCACTTAAGCTTTGCTAAAACAAGTGGTTAATTACCAAATGATTGGTATCAATTAAATGCTTGTACGAGACACACAGGGCGTATGAGCAATGCTGAGATGTGAAGGTCATTGCGGGGCAATTGCTGGGAGATTTGTTAACAATTTTTAATGAGAAACTAACTGATAACAGATTATTTAATTTTAAATATTAATTTTATTATATTTAAACCGTAAACTGTACACTAAATCAACTATAAGCTATCAAAAATCACCACAAAATCCCTCAAAGAAGCCGCAAAACCTTTCTAGGTCTTTAATATGGCTCCACACAGACAGGACAACAACAGAAAAAAAGACAGTATAAACCAAACAGCAGGGCATTGAGTAATTGGCAAGTCAGCAGTAAATTCTGTGGAGGTCCTGATAAAGGAGACTCGACGGACATTAGCACGCGCCCGGGTCGAGCCAGGATGCTGTGTCCATGGGACACCGCAAACGGCCTGTGGCAGTCACTTTACCCAGCTCTCATGCGTGTTTTTCTCCTGGCCTTTGTGGCCCACTCCTTCCTCTTTCGAAACTCTCACTACAAGCCGCACAATCAAACACGATTCCAAGGCCCAGCTCTGATTAATGAATATGAAAAGTGCGTAAAAGGACTCGGAAAAAGGCTCTGGCAAAAGAGCTTGGTGAGTGAAGAATGAAAGTTGCTTAAAAAGAGCTTGGGTTAAATACACTATTTGTGGGCTTAACTTTGGGTTATTACAACAAATTTTAATTGAGTTTTCGATGTTAATTTATATTAAATGGAATAATAATATTGTCTATACCTTTTTCAGAGTTTAGTCTTCGTGCTCTTTAATAGCTTAAAAGATCAATAATATCTCCAAGTTTTAAGACTATATATTAATACCGAATATAACATTAAATAAGTAAATGTCAAATAATTCCCCTATGTTTTTAAAAAGTTCTTCTGTTTTTTATATAATTAAAAATTCACAATGAAAATCAATAGTTGTACTCACCAAAGAAGCAGCAGCAAAAGACTATGGTATAGAGCGTTATAAACACGATGCGCACTTCAAGGCGATCAAAGATATATTCGCTAGCATCGGCATCCTCCTCATCCTCGACTTCTACCTCCATTCCGGCATTGGCTTTGGCATCGGTGCCAATACCCGAGAGTCCTGTGGTCTGGGCTGGAACCTGGGCCGTGGTGGTGGTGGTGGAGTCGCCGTAGAGTAATGCATAATCGGTGCCACTGCCATTGATGGACGGACTCGATGTGGGGCTGCTGCTGCTGCTGCTGCTGCTGGTGGTTGAGTCGGTGGCAGAAGCCGTCAGTGCGGCAGTCAGGAGCAACAGAACCACAACTAGCCAGGGGGAGGAGTTAGGTCCTATAGTGGCTCCCCATTTTCCGGAAGGTGGTACTGGAAGTGGGCGTGGCTGCGGGGCCACCCGCTGTCGTAATGCGGAAGTGCTAAAATTCGAAGGACTGCTCCGGCTGGCGTTGTTTTGATTATGCGCTTCCCCGTGGTTGGCATCGTCATTAACGTGGTTATCGTTGTTATCGTCGTAAGCCGCTGATATGTTTGGCCTGTCATTCTGCTTTCGTTTTTTATGTTGTTCTGGCCGGTGCCGCTGCTGCCTCTGCTCCACCGCTTCCGCTTCCTGTGGCCAGGATAGCGATGTTGTCATCATCATCATCATCGTCGGCGTCGTTGTTGTTGGTGATGGTGTGTGCCCTCGGCTCCTCATCCCACTAAAAATGGGTGCAGCTGCAAGAAGTACAAGGCAGAGAGTCCAAGGGAATTAGTTTGGTGGAAGAGTTATAAGGATGCTAAGGAAAAAGACAATTCATAATAAATTCGACTTGATATACACTTAAAGGGTTTTTTTTTAATATTTACAAGCCATAAAGTGTCTTCACATTTACTATACTAATCAATTGCTCTCTATCTTAAACCAACAACGCTAAGAAAAAAGACTATACTTAAAAGATGTATATCACCATACGGATTTTGCATTTTTTCAGCAGAGTTAAGAGCTATTTTAGTCTTATTCTCTCGCTCTCTTTCTTTCTCTCTCTCTTAATCTCAGATAAAAGTGTAAGGCCGTTATGCATCTTACTATTATATTATCTTTTCTTTATTTTCCACTCTACATAATACTGCAATTAACGATTTTTCCTATCAATAATGTCTCTCTTTTACTCAGAGACCCAGCTTCAATTCATTAACTGCAAAGTCACGTTCCACGTGCTCACTTTAAGGCTTGGCAATTAAACTTGTCCTGGACCTGGTGACATTCTGCTCCCGACCAAGTCCACGACTCCACAGGCTCCTGCCTGTGTTTGCTCGAGCCTCAAGTGGACTTTTTAATTAAGATGCCTTTAATAATGAGCATAATTAAAACATTTGTCTGCCAATGCGAACATGAACGCTGGCATCGTGTGCCCCAAAAAAAAGAAATTATGATTTGCAATTTGCCACGCGCGGGGTTCCCCTGTTTCCTCAGCCTTCCTAGCCTGTCTAGCTAGGCATGGTACCCAGCAATAGGGTATATTAGGTAGACACAAAATGAGGTAAAAGGGAGAAGAAGGAGTACTTAATAAAATTCATTTTCATTAGGTACAATTGTGGTGACTTTTTATTTGTTGATTTTAAATTTCTAAAATAATAAAATGTTTTTTGTATTTATTTTTAAGCAGTGAATATGTGTCTAGACCCTCTACTATATCCTTCTTTTCTTGTTTTAATATGCACTACGCTTTGTTGCTAATTACGCTAGTGCATTCGCCGTCGCAGTCGCTTTGATTATTGCTCTCGGTGCTTGTGTACGTGCTCTAATTAATAGAGAGACTCGCATGCAAACACACACACACTGCGCCAAAAACATACGCCAACAAAATGTCTGTCAAGTAATTAACACGGCTGAATCGCATCGGCCAGAGATATTATAAACTTGCCGCAATGAGACATGTGTATCATGCACACTATATACAAATATAAACAGTGCCCACTGTAATGAGTGGGGGGAAGACTTCTTCGGAGAATGACAACTGTTGTTGGCATTTAAATGTCCGGCGGCCATCAATGGGAAAACTTTGTCTGACAGTTTAATTGTCAACTGGGAATGTTGAGAAAACAGATAAATTCAGTTTAATGCCTTGTGAAGTTTATAACTTTGACGATTACAGGAAGATAATATCTGCCAAGAATACACTTGGGGCCATAATACTTAATATAATACTATAATTGTCTTTAAAAAAACTATGAAAAAGTAAAGAAAAAAAGTAGCTAATCACTAATATAAAACCTAAATTTTCATTTTTATTTATCAAACCGAAATCCCTGAACCAACACTCAGAAGACCCCCACTTTGAGCAATCAAATAAAAGCTCATAATCGTCAGTCAAAGTTTCTCATTGAGAAATGCTCTATTAAAGGCAATAATCTGAGCAACACAAACACTGCTCTTTGAGAAATGCCGACATTTCAACAGAAATCAGAACAATACCTCGAAGTGCGACCCTTCAAAAACACAAAGCCAAAGGCAGGATGGCCAAGGAAAAAGTTTCTGTAATGTGGGTCAAACTGCAGGAGCCGTTATTACAGAAGCTCTTAGCAGCCGTAAATTATTATTAATGAGCCTGACAAACAGAGGATTTACTGAGCCCAGGACTGCAAGCAATTAAGGGAAGGAAGAAAGGAGATATTAAATTGCAACTCTTAAAAAAAATAAATTATAAATTCTTGTATTACAAATCTATCTGTGTTTTAACCATTAAACCTTTCTTGAAAACTATCTCTTGGGTAGATATTAAACCTTATAGACATTTCTCCTAAACTCAGCAGTTACTTTAATCAAACCTTGTCATCGTGCAAAGCCCACAACAACCCACTGTCACCGATGTCAAATGCAGATGTCTGAGCCAGGCCAGGTAACACATGAACTTACACACCTGAATTTACGCCTGAACTCATACCTTAACACACACACACACACCTATTTGTTGTTGCCGCCCCCAGGAGACACCAACGATTGCTTGTCGTCCCATCTTGTTTGCCACCGTTTTCTGCAGGCCCAGGACCAGGATGTGCAAATGTGCGGATTCAGATTCAGATGCAGATGCAGAATGCTGATGCGGAGGTGGCTCCCAACACCGGGATTAGTTTGCGTTTAAGTGATATTACATGCTCCTTGAGACCGTGTCAGTACCAGCGATTGAAAGCAGAGCAAGGCTCGAACCCACCCTGGTTATCAATTTAGTCCTCTTGAAATTGCTTCAAGGTTTCAGTCGGGAGCAGGCAGAAGCCATTTAAATATTGTTGCAAGTTGTATGAAATTTATAGAAGACCAAATCTAGCTAGGAAAATATATTCTAAAAGTAATAAAAGCTTTTTTTTAACCCTAGACGGTCATGCTTATTTTTCCTACGTTAAGGTTATGCTTCGTCGAATCGACGACGCCAATTTTAAAATAAGTATAATTGTTAAAAAACAAACAAATATTGTAAAAAAAAATTTAACATCGTTTAATTCATCATTTTAACTGTTCAAAATTAGAAATAATAATTAATTCTTATATTAAGAATATACTTAAAAACTAAGAATAAAAAACGACCTTTTTTTCATTTTTCGAACTTTTGTGATTTTGCGTCGTCGAATCGACGAAGCATGACCGTCTAGGGTTAATAAGTAAACTTTAAAAAAGTTTTTAGAAGCTGGCTCAATTTCCTAAAAGAAGTTTGTTCACAATTTCGTGAAAATTGAATATGAAATATGAAAGTTTTTAACCATTTCCTGGCACTTTAATATTAAATTTCCTTGAAGACAAAGCACTAAACGTACCTTAAAAACTAAAAAATTTGTCAGGAAATATTTCAGTTGAGTACTATAACCTTAAAAGTGTTTGAAAAATATTCAAAGGTCAAAATGCCAGTGGATTTAACGATACGCATTCAGAAACCACCCACATTTTCGCGTCGAATAACAAAATCTATGCCCCACCACACCCCACTCTGCACACACACACTCACACACACTCGTCTCTTTGCATGTCAATTGCATATGGCCACAGAAAAATAATTTAAAAATATTTTTGCCAGATATACATATAGATTCTTTCAGCAAGACTGCGCCTCAAATTGCCTTTCAATCACGGAAGTGAAAGGGGTTCCCCTTATTTTTCATAGCTAATAAATGAAACTGACATAAAACGATTGAGTGTCAAAGTGTCTACTTAAATCTAATTGTAACTTTTTTAAATCAGAGCTGAATATTTAACTTTATGGATATTTTTTTCTAGTTTTTTATAGCACATTTAATATTCTCTTTTATTCGCTTGACTACTTTTTTATTGCGCGTAATTTCAAGTGTTCACTTTTCATATTCTTGTTTGGCTTTTCATCGTGATTGTTGGCAGTGTTGACATTTGCCATTCGCATTCTTCCCCGCTTGTGTGTGGTTAGCATTTACATGATGTCTGCATACTATATAGATATATATACATATATGCGCATTTCTATATCTCCCCCGTGTGTGCATTGCAATTAGTTTGAATGGCGAATTGCATATTTGTCTAATGGTTTGCCCTAACCACCATGCAAATATTAACTATTATTTTTATGAATATTTTTATTAGGCTTCCTCAAGCGAAAAAGCATTTTGAAACTTAAAAACCTAATTGGCTAATGTTTTTTATCCTTTAAAGTGGGGTTTAACCCTTGATTTAAATCTAAGTGGAATTGTAATTTGTAAAAATTATAACTCAAGTTTGATCAAATTTAAAACATTAAATTACGGCATTTAAATTATTTCTAAATACACAAATATTCATACATTTCACTCTATTTATCCTCTTCAACTATAGAATTTAAGCCAATAAATGAAAACTTTTAAAATTTATTTTACCAAATAGCTACTCGAATTCCAAATGCAATTCCTTCGAGAACAATAGCCAAGACAGCGAGAGGGCTAAATAACTGCCAACGGAATTGCATCGTAAATTCCCAACGTTAGAGTCCCTGGCACTTTACATATAATCACTTTACCTGCTCGGCTATTCGTTTAACTCCCCCCAATCTACCCCACTTTCCTTTAAAGTACCCACCAAGAAGTGAGAAAATTCTCGGAGAAGAGGCAGCAGATTGTCGCGCTGTTGACGACTTCCGGAACGGAAATTGTTTGGCGCTTTAATGAGCCAAGTGGCTCAAAGTTGACTGGCAGTGGATGCCTCTGCCACTAAGGAGCTAAGGAGCTCTGAGCCGGCGACAAATGAAAAGTGACGTTGGGGCCCGGGCTTAAGCGTCTAAATTGATTTGCCAGATACTGATTTAATTAAAAACAGGCTGCAAGTGCAATGAAGACATCCCCTCGGTTGGTGTTGGATTCCCCTCGAGGGTTTCTTGAATGGAAATAAGTTGGTGACAATAGTTTGAAAGGCTTTGATTTCAATTTAAATTGTCTTTAATATTGTTTTATTTAATGAATATACTGAAAAAGGCAGTCTTTATTAAAATCTATCAGAATAACTGAACCAAAAACCCTAAGTAAACCTATATAAAACATTTCAATGGTTAAATATCACCCAAAAAAGTAATATTTTCCAAGCTATGGCTGACCAGACTTCTCATATTTCTATTGCTATGCTATTTATTCATGCAAATGTTTTGGCTTTTTGCTCAGTTTAATAAACTAAAGCCTTACTGCTCAGTGCCCCAGGGCTTAATTTAATGGGAAGAAATCACGCGAAAAGTCAGCCAGCTGCAGCTGGA